AATAGCGGATTCATCTTCTTCTGGTCTATGATTATAATTGTTTGTTTAAAGCTAAAATGCGCTTGGTTTAAACCACCACCACCCCCCCCCCCCCATCCCCCGCCTGCATCAGTTGATGCCTGCCAGTCATACCAGGTCGCATGGTAAGATTTTAGGCGAACTTGCCCCACAGTGAACTACTAGTCAAATGTTGGCCACATAGAAGATCGGATTAGTCATACATGCGAAGTGATAACTAATGCTCGACTTGATCGATTGCCATTTGAAAGATCGTTTAGAGCCCTAAATAACTGGCTATATGGCTCTGTGAAAAACGTATTTGGCCCTGACCAAGACAGACGTTTAGCTGGTCCATTCACAACTGTTACTGTGCGGTATTAAAGATGTCGCAATGAATGAACCAACTGGTACGTCATCTTCCTATTCAAATACAGGTTAAAAGTGAAAGGTCAGTTGTCCCATACATTAAAAAACCTGTTGCCATCCGTACTTTATCGGAACTGAATTAGAATAGTTGAAGTACAGCCTTCGGCAGTATTTCACTACGCAACTTAAAAGATGTGTTTGGATGGAGTAAGCATACTCTTTAAAAGTAGTATACTCTGCTGCTAATTGAAGTAGTAAATAGTCTAAATTACTTTGGATTATGACATTACACAAGTTCATGTTTTACTCACTGAATTACCGTTCGTGAGTATAGAGAGATTATAAGTTCATGCTCCTAAATCGGCCCCAAATCGCTAGTCTTGTAGTGATTTGTGTATACCAATCCGGAAGTCTTTACGCCTTTAGCCAACAAAAGTAAAAATAGCCACTGACAGCAATTGGAAGATCAACAGCAAAACCAATATCACAAACAACACTTTTATTGACAACACCTATAAAACGAAAAAACAGCACCAACATTCCCTTTTTATTAGAGAAATTGTTCGGAGGAAGCCTATCCGTTCGTCTGGTCTAACTCGAGAACGAAAAGATACAGCGATGTCAAATCTTCTACGAGTTCAAGGATCAGTGCTATTGAGTATGAGTCGAATTCCGAATGCGGGCTGAGTGGCAAAGTGGTCTTTCCTTGAGACGAGGTTTGGTTATTGCTGGAATCTTTTGCCAAAATGTAGCACTGAATGAACGCAGACATCAACGCCATAAGTAGGACATAACAGTTGCTCTTAGTACCGTAATACGTGCTATAGAAGTTGAATTGAAAGGCACAACATTCTTGAGAATTGAGCGAACAAAATGTTACATTAAGAAGAGTTAATTTCCTGTGAAACACAAGACTCGCAAAATTTGGAGTATGAAAGAGTGATAACATGCATTCCAAACTGATTTCCCAAGAGAAAAGGTGCAGCTTTGAGATGGGCCCCAACGGATAAATCCAATTTTCTCGGAAACGAGACGCATGACACAAAGTTTAAGAATATGCGCATAAATTAGCACAAAACTATGCAACTAGTTTTATTTAAATGCAAACCAGTTAATGTTCTAGCCCTAACGAAAATTTTAATTTTTTACGAAACGAAACTAACGCCAAACTTTGAGTTAACCTAATTTTTTCGAATAGAAAATTTCTTCTCTTTTTATTTGACTGCAAGACTAGCAAATTATAGTGTTAAATAAAGTGCGCAAAGCTTAAATCACTCCATTAGTAAAAAAAACTTTAAAATTATAATATTGCAATGAGAATTACTTTTGCAATAAAGCCGAGGATATTTGCGATTAGTATAGGGCAGGGGTCGGCAACCTATTGACACGGAAAAGCCAAAAATTACAATTTACATTTCCCAGTTTTTAAAGGGCCACAAAAAATTTTTGAACAGTGCGCCGGTTTTTCCTACATAGCTGATACCCGGTAAAAAATATTGGTGGTTGTGGATCTACAGAATTATTTTTGAATGTACAGGGTGTCTCATTTTTACGACGTCAATAAATAACTGATCTTTTTAAATAGAACATCCTGCATATTTTTACTTGTTTCAATTGACATTTGTTCAAAGTGCTATAACTATTCTTTTTCAAATGGAACTACAACTATTTTATTTCGCTATTCGATTGTGCTGTGCTTAAACCCCGCAGTTTTTATGTTATTCAATATTTTTCACAAAAGTACCTAATTAATTAATTACGTGTTTATACATCGGAGTAGGCTGCTATAATAAAAAAAACAAAAGAATACCAAAAAGTAAACAAGTTTTTTTTTTTAATTGTAATTGCAAATTTACAATCTACTCAAATAAACTACAGAGTAATAAGTAAAGAGGACCGAAAAGAGCCTTAATTATTTTTTGGCCTACATTGCCAATTCACGATCTCCAATCGACAAATATGATAAAGAATCCACGTGCAAAATTTCATCGTAATCGGTCCACTCTTTTTCGAAATATCGTATCTACTAACGGACGGACTGACAGACGGACAAACACAGTAAAATTATACACTCGCTCGCTCGTTAATAAGAGATCTTAATAAAGGAATCGAAAAAAGTGAAAATTTTGTCTTTTTAATTTAAAGCACCCACTGAATTTGGTGTCAGTTCTAATCACAATTTCTTTTTCGAAACCAAAGGGTTTCACTGCGAATGAAACCAAGTTCAAGGGTTATTTATTATATAATTTGTCACAGTAACCCTCCAAAGCAGAATAACAGCAGAAAGATTGAGTAATTGAATGTAAAAAAACTTACGCTAAGGTCAAAAGTCAATGCCAATCTGCCATGTGCCGATCAGTGACTGAAATTTATTTACTTTGTCACTTAATAAACAAATTTTCATTTTCAATATTTCCATTGGTTTATTTATTTACCTTATTTTTTTTCAGGTTGTAAATTTTTGTTTTGTTATTGAAAGTAGGAAAAATTAAATTAAAACCTGCCATCAGCAGTATTTAAAGGCGTCTCATGATACTTGCAGAAGGTTTGAGGAAACACTCTGCTATAGGGCAGTAACCGTAACCACAATTTGAAGTTTGGTGAAGGTGTAACAGTACTCATATAATTAGCCGAAATTTAAATTAAAGGATTAAGCTATAAAGAGATCCCAAATTGTGACAGGTTTCTTATAGAACGTGGCCTGTAGAATCCATAATTTCAAACAGTTCCAAGATTGGGCTCCTAGTTCAAAAGTTACAGCCCTTTGAATTTTCTTTCGAAATTGATTTCTTTCTAGTCTATAACTTTGAGAAGTCTGATCGAAAAAGTACGAATTGTTTTGGATTCTACGCACCAAAATTAATAAGAAAAAGTGTTTTCCCGAGAAATTTTGGTGCAGTCGATTTTTGGTAAAAAAGGAAGGTTATACACTGCCTTTTTTTGAGCCCCGAAAAAAAATTGTCAGATCGACCCGGAAAAAAATTTTTCTTATAGAATGTGGCCTGTAGAATCCATAATTTCAAACAGTTCCAAGATTGGGCTACTAGTTCAAAAGTTACAGCCCTTTGAATTTTCTTTCGAAATTGGTTTCTAGTCTATAACTTTTGATTGAGAAGTCTGATCGAAAAAGTACGAATTGTTTTGGATTCTACGCACCAAAATTAATAAGAAAAAGTGTTTTCCCGAGAAATTTTGGTGCAGACGATTTTTGGTAAAAAAAGGAAGGTTACAACCTGCCTTTTTTTGAGGCTCGAAGAAAAAATTGTCTCAGATCGACTCGGAAAAAAAATTTTTCTTATGGAACGTGGCCTGTAGAATCCATAATTTCAAACAGTTCCAAGATTGGGCTACTAGTTCAAAAGTTACAGCCCTTTGAATTTTTTTTCGAAATTGGTTTCTAGTCTATAACTTTTGATTGAGAAGTCTGATCGAAAAAGTACGAATTGATTTGGATTCTACGCACCCAAATTAATAAGAAAAAGTGTTTTCCCGAGAAATTTTGGTGTAGTCGATTTTTGGTAAAAAAGGAAGGTTATACACTGCCTTTTTTTGAGGCCCGAAGAAAAAATTGTCTCAGATCGACTCGGAAAAAAAATTTTTCTTATGGAACGTGGCCTGTAGAATCCATAATTTCAAACAGTTCCAAGATTGGGCTACTAGTTCAAAAGTTACAGCCCTTTGAATTTTCTTTCGAAATTGGTTTCTAGTCTATAACTTTTGATTGAGAAGTCTGATCGAAAAAGTACGAATTGTTTTGGATTCTACGCACCAAAATTAATAAGAAAAAGTGTTTTCCCGAGAAATTTTGGTGCAGTCGATTTTTGGTAAAAAAGGAAGGTTATACACTGCCTTTTTTTGAGGCTCGAAAAAAAAATTGTCTCAGATCGACTCGGAAAAAAATTTTCTTATGAATGTGGCCTGTAGAATCCATAATTTCAAACAGTTCCAAGATTGGGCTACTAGTTCAAAAGTTACAGCCCTTTGAATTTTCTTTCGAAATTGGTTTCTAGTCTATAACTTTTAATTGAGAAGTCTGATCGAAAAAGTACGAATTGTTTTGGATTCTACGCACCAAAATTAATAAGAAAAAGTGTTTTCCCGAGAAATTTTGGTGCAGACGATTTTTGGTAAAAAAAGGAAGGTTACAACCTGCCTTTTTTTGAGGCTCGAAGAAAAAATTGTCTCAGATCGACTCGGAAAAAAAAATTTTCTTATGGAACGTGGCCTGTAGAATCCATAATTTCAAACAGTTCCGAGATTGGGCTACTAGTTCAAAAGTTACAGCCCTTTGGATTTTTAGCCAATGAAAAAAAGAGAAGTGCATTCCGTTAACATTTTCCGATTTGTATCAACATACAGTGAATTGTCAGTTTGCCAAAGAACCCATTTACAGCAAGTTTTCAGATAAAGGACAGGAGATTTGTTACGTAAACCAAAGGAGTTAAAAGAGGGAAAGTTTACCGTGGAAGGCATTTTTAAGATACAGTTTTCCAGGTGCAATTTCCAGTTTAATAAAAACAAAAGAAATTGTCAACAAATTATTTGCAGCACAGGGCACCCGATAATGTAGCCTCCGATGCACTCGTTAACCTTTCGATTCGAAAATTGACTTCAGGTTAATCAAATTGGCAAGCTGTTTTTGTAACTCCTTTATTTAAAACAATAAATTTATTACAACTTGAAAAACGGCCGATAACCATCGCCCTCTATAACATTAATAAATTTCCCGCACATTCCGCACGAATTGTTCGAGTTCAACTTATCGGGACAAGCCGACCCTGGGGATCCGGGCTTGTAGACCGCCTCCCCTAGGTAATTGCCTCCAGGGCCGTAATTGCACACGAATAGAAACTCGTGCCACTTGGACCCGTCCGGTTTGTTAACGGTGTAGTACACTGCAGCGCACCCAATTTTATGGGTGTCGGCCCAAACCATCTGAGTGTAATGTCCCACCTTTACGCCTCTAAATTATAAGGTGAACGTTTGCAAATGATTTTTTTGGGAGCTCACCTGTCTCGGGTATCGTACACCCATTGATTGTTGAATAGCGCAACTTCGTCGTACCAATGCGTAATTAACTGCTGCATGGCGAGTGTAAAGTTGATGTTGTTAACCGAACTGTTAATGTAGCCCAAATTTTGACCGTTGTGCTCGTGCTTCCGCGTTCTTCTGCACTTGTCGTGCTTTAAGGCGGTACCCTCACAGGCGTTCGCCCAGCATTGGGCTATAAACTCCAATTCCCTGTCGTAGGTCTGAAAGCGAGGTGCTGAACTTTCAAATTGGAGCAGCCCCTCAAACTCACCATCACTCGCATATTCTTGGCCGGCGGTTGCTTTCCTCGCATCTCACTGCCAAGAGTCACCCTACACCTGAGGGCGTTGTGCATATTTAAAATCATTTGTCTCTGTTGGTCGGTCAGTCTGATCACTTTGAAGTTTGGACCACAAGCAGTGGCGGGCCCGCATTTCTAAGAAGTCACAGTAAATTCCCCGAAATTATCAAAAAAAATTGTATACGTACGTTAATGCCTCGCTGGCACACGGTGTGAGTGAGTGGAACACCATCACCAAAATCACAACCTAGTTCACAATAAGGGTTCTTTTCGATAAGCGCATATGCTAACGTAACTTCGACCAGTAATAAAATAACGTTAAGCATTGTGGCAGTGAACGTTTCAATTGTTACTAAAGTTCCTCGCGAGCAAAATGAGAATTTAACGCGATTGATTGTTGTTAATAAAAAACTTGGTCGTGGTCAGTGGGAGTCGGTCTTCCTCACTTGTTTTGAATTCGAAAAACAAGGTGGCACTTTTCATGCTTAGAATATGTAAATAGCGCTGTGCGAATTTTAATTTTTTATGGTCTGCAGTTATAATTATTAAAACAGCCTCTCAGCTGGAAATCCTTACCGTAGTTGATTGATAGATTTATTTATATGCAAATTTCGTACGAGAAGATCACTTTAAGTAGATGAAATTCTTCGTTACATAACGTCTTCTTTATTTACAAACAAAATTATTCCTACAAGGTAACGTTAAAAAAACGTGAGCACTCAAACATTCGGTTTCCGCAGTATTTACTAACCATTAATAAATTACTTTATTATAACAATTCGTGACTCGGTCTAGTATATTTTTATTTTCGTACCGAAAACTTGTTGTTGTACCAAGTGCGATTTCAAAAAAAGGTACCTATTTGGAAAAAATTGGGAATGCGTCATCGTACTTAATTGAGATTTTCATGGCAATACCCGAACTTTTCGGCACAAAAAAATCCTGCTGCTTTCAAGAAGCAATAATCGGTCCCTTTCCAAAGCAAAACATAACATCTTCAGATTGGAATTTCAAGTGTAAATGTTACAGACCTGGACGGCCATGAAACTACGATCATTACTGCCACTGCAGTTTAACTATAATAAGACACTTTGATGTGTACAGAAGCAGGTATTTATCTTAAATCGATATGGCAATGAGAATTTCGCAATATATGTTTCATAAAAGTTTCCCGCGAACGATTTTTTTAGTTGTCGGACGCCTCACGCGGGGTTCTCCGCAGCGCGAAGATCTATCAAAGGTTAAAAGTTATGTACCATTACGCCGTAAGCTAATTAAAGCAATTAAAATTTTTGCATTAAATCAACTTCATTAACATTTTTTAACAGTATGGAACGGTGTGTTTCTTCCTCGATCCGTTGACGCTTTTTTTGGGCAGATAAATCTTCGCGTGGATATTTTTAGCTTCCTCAAAAAGTAGTTTGTTATTCATGCGTATTTCGAGGACAAGGAAAAAATTTCGCCTTATTATACTACACCGTGGTATATTTTTAAATCGCTATAGCGCTACCCTTGGATTATATAATACGTAGTCTTTCAAAGATCGCTACTATTCCCAATAAGTATGTCAATTCTCTTTTAATAACAGATATTACAGTGTAAGGGAAATAAACAGTTTTGGTATCTATGAAAGGAAGCGAGTTGCAGATTTACTCATTTCTGAGCAGTGTATTTTTTCATTTTTCGTTTCATTTTTTAAAGTATAAGTAGGTAAATTATGGATGATATTAGGCATAATGTAATAAATTTAACAAAGGAATTTCCACATAACTTTTTAAATCACGTGGTATTTAGTCGGGGGAGTTACGAATTGTTGTCAATAAAGTTCTGTAACTGCGACCGAATATTTTAAGCCACAAACTTGTAACTGAAAGAAAAACAACAAAAAAAAGCATAAAAGCTTGGCTGGGATCGTGTCCCAGGTTCGCAATTCATCAACTTTGTGAATAACACATTTTTTTTCCACTTGTAAAGTCAGATTTTGAAAGTGGTTTACAATGAAATGATTATTAACCAGTAGTCAATAATAAGACCCATCAAGCTGTCCCGTTTTTGAGATCACCACCTGAAATTTCGCTCAATAAATGTTTGGACAAGTTCTTTAAAATCAATAACTGCACTTTCCTTCATTTCCATAGAAATTAAGTACTTAAAACTGTCACATTTAGGAAAGATTCAAACCAAATTACACTTTGAAAATACTTCAATGGCAGAACAAAATACTGACACTCCTATAACACCTGGGTTTTTTATTCACCAGGCAAAAGAAATTGAAAATCAACAGATACGGAACGTTAAGCTGAAGCACCTACAACGACGCCGGAAACTATCCTGACCAGGGGCGGACTGGGTACTTACGGGCCAGGTGGAATTGCATAGGTTACGGGCCATTAAAGTATTAGTGTAGTAATGGAGGTGGCGGGGGGGGGGGGGTAGCTCTGCGGTGCATCACAAAAACATTTTTTGCTTCATTTTAAAGTACTCCTTTTCCGGAAATCAATTACAATACAGGTTTTTTTTTAAATTGCAGCTGATAATAACAAGTAACAAAATATACAATCCAAACGAGGCGCGTCGCCTATCATTGTATTTCATCAGATTCATGCTACGACAAAAAATGATAAATTCATTGTAAAACACTTCAATTAAAACAGAATTTTTAAATTTTTTAACAACCTAACATCAACCCCAATTAGAGAAACGTGTTAATAACTTATTAATAGTGCAAGAAACTAAATACAGCACATACTTATAAATTTCCAACGGGCCATTATGACGTACAGGCCAGGTGGCAATCGCCCCCCGCCCCCCCCCCGGGCCAGTCCGCCCCTGATTCTGACGACTCTTAGGAACTATAGAAACTTTCAAACTTTGATTAAAGCTCGAACATATCCTGCCCAAAAAGCAAAAATATAACTCATATTTTGGTATAATCCGACAAACTTCAACTTCAACCGTTGCTATAACACCTTCTGAAGCTATGATAGTTCTTACGATCGATAGCAACAATTACTCTTTAAGCGAATTCTCTAGGGATACAATGTTATAGTTAAATGGGAAAAATAATGACAAAAAGAAACACCGCTTCTAGTAAAACGTTGTGTTAATTTCTTAAAAACCTGCGTCAAAATTATTTCTACGCCCCCAACACTAACACTATTTCCAAAAATTAGAGATACGCCACGTTACTGGATTAAAATTTGATTTATATTTGTTGAATTTGTTAATTTGGACTGTAGAAAAAGTATGTAAAGGACAAAGTATTAGAAGTAGGTACCTAATTATTAAGTGGCTATGACTAAAGTTTTAAAGAGGAAACTCTTCAGTTGACACTTTACAGTGACGTAATCTGAAAATTTGCGAGAATTTGCGTAATCTGAAGGTACGGCAAATACTTTTTTCTAACGAAATGAAAATGCAATTCTATTGCAATGTGAAAGTCGCAAGCCGCTTTAGCTTCACATTATGCAATTTTAGTACAAGTTCTGTTCTATGCCATTTTTAAGATTTTACATTAGTACAATTTTGTCGCAATTATTGAGTAAGTTTAATAAAATGTGACAGTATGACAACAATCCATGTGTTCAAAATGTTTGAGAATGTATTAGCTATTAAAAAAAGGACGAAAACTTGCTAGTGTACCTTTAACTTGCATGACAATTGCCTAATGCAAAGTGGCTTAATCAAAAATGTTTCAAAAAAACTTCATCCTCCTCACATTATCATTCCATAGCCATACCACCTACATACACATTGCATTGCCACCCCTACAAGAAATTCCTAGCATTATCATTGAAGAAGTGCCATTGTTAAAAACAATACGAAAAAATCATGAAACTAACCAGACTGAAGAAGCTCAGTTGTTCACAAGGATGTATACCATTTTTTAACTGTAAGTAGAAGTTTCTAAGTTTATTTTTATGAGCAAAATGTTTAGTTTTTTCATTATTTTGTAGAAATAAATATCAGTGTAATGACAAGAAAAAATTATCTTCACATTTCATCTACTGATGAAGACATTCATGAAAACATCAATTTTTAAACCGAAGAAAATATACATAAATCGTCATTTGTGAGCCGATACTCGCTTACACGTAACACGTAGACAACACGTCCTACATGCATGTTACACACTCAACATCAAGCAGCCGACTTGCAGATGTGTTGCACATTGACTCCTTCAATACTGCGCAACCGCAAGCGCGCTAAAATTGGAATTTGGGTAGAATTGTCAATTGTAAGGGGTAAGTAAATAATACACATAACCTGCAAACGTTATAATGAAGATAATTTAGCTTACCTGCTTACCTATTGTAAGTAGGTGTAGTAGGTATACAGGGTGGTGACTTGCGTAACGCATCATAGGGATTTCAATGTAAAATTCATAACATGCGATTATTGGCTCCCCAAATTATTTTAGAGCAAAAATGTATTAAGATTTGTTGTAGAAAAATTTTTTTACGTCAATCAACCGTATCAATGTTCAATGTTTTTCACAATAAAGACGGAAAATTGGAAAAATAAAACCCCTATCTTTTTCAATAATCTGTGATGCCATGGAATTTTATAATACAACACTACGCCAATATCCCTCATGCCATGGAATGTCTGCTATAAAACAAATCAAATTCTATCAAAAAGTATTATATTTAGAACTGCGAATTCAACATAAAGAACGACCAAATTACTAAAAACGGTTTCCTAATATAACAATTTACAATAAATGTTCGAATAAGTCACCATTAACTGCAATACAGTAACCAAGTCGATCATAAAAGCCATTTCGAACTGCCGCTAATTGATAACTGGATATCTTTTTGTTTTAGAAAATTCCATGGCATCGCAGATTATTGAAAAAGATGCGGGTTTTATTTTTCCAATTTTCCGTCTTTATTATGCAAAAAGTTGAAAACTAATACGGTTGATTGACGTAAAAAATTTTTCCCTACAAAAAACCTTAATACATTTTTACTCTAAAATAATTTGGGGAGCCAATAATCGCATGTTATGAATTTTACATTGAAATCCCTATGATGGGTTACGAAAGTCACCATCCTGTATATTACTGCCATCTTATCAAGATTAATTTTGTTGTTATCTACATTTCAAGTAAATGACTTTGAATTCCTCGAGGAATTCCTAGACTAGAATATGCCAAAGGCGATAGAAAGAAACTATTTCGGTAAGTACTGTAACAGTTAATTTGAAATCTACTTACAGACCAATATTGACCTACGGTAGAGAGAGAGTTTGGTGCTGAACGAATCACAAAAAACCAGACTACAAGCTACAGAAATGAAGTACTTGCGAAGGAAAAGGGGAGTTGGTGGAATTCCTAGTAAGAAGATAAAAAAGAAGTGGATGCTCTGATAGAGGCCTTTGGTAGGCAAAAATTAAAATACTTATTTGGACGCCTTGGACGAATGGAAAACAGTCGGCTTGCGAAACACATATGGAACACCGGAATTCAAATTAGGAAGAAAAGGGGAAGCATAAGCATAAAGACAACATGGGATATGTACTTAAGTAGCAAGAATACTTCAAGATCAAGGCATAGAATGGGAGGCTAAAGGCGCCTTTAGACCAGAAAAAAAACTACCTATACGCACTAACTGTTACAATTCAATAAATTACCGTTAAAATGCCGCATGGCATTATTTATAGAAGAATTCCTGCATTGAATTCTCTTGAGAAGAAAAGAGGGAGAATTTTCCGCAAATGAACACTATGAGACAAAATTATTTCTTTACCACAAGTCGAACTATCTACAGATGCTGTTAATAGAAACGAGTTGACGAAAGCGCACAGGTATGTCTTATATCTTTTATCACAGTGAGATTCGCAGAAAAAAATCACTTCGCTTCGTAAAATCGATATGGCTATGAAGTCATAGTCATACCGATCGATACAAACTGATTGATGCCGCGAGAGAGACCTTAGAAATAGTCAACCCAGTTGAAAAACTGAGCCGATTTCCACAAGTCACTAAAGATCACTTTTAGTTGCACTACACACTTCAGTTTTCCCCCACTGCTGCAAAATAATACAACCATGCATAGAAAAGAAAAATCCTACCTTTATAAGGCTGCACTTCTACAATCTGAAACAAGAAGAAAAATAAGTTAAAAAATAAAATAATAGAAATTTATCTAAAATTAATCAAAAAAAGTAATGTTGGCGGGAGGGGAGGGGTTTCTTTATTGAAGGAGACACCCTAGATGTGAGGCACTTTTGCGTTGCTATTACTGTGAAAATTTACCTTAACCTTATTAATACAGTCTGGCACCATCACCGTAGGCCTTCACGATCACCTCGAGCTACTAGCATGGATTCTCCTCGAACGCCATTACCAATAACTAAAAAAAAATTATATGAAGTTTTGTGTTTCTGCTATGGGCAGTGAAAAACTCACCTCGTTTGCGTGATCCATCTCCATATAATCGTTGAACTGAGTCGAAAGCAGGCTTGAATTCGAGCTGATCCATCGCAGAGGTCGTTGGCAGCGCTGGATTAAGAGGGAGACAATGGGGCTACAGCCCTGGAAACCCGGGGGGACTACAAGTAATACGAATGTTCCCGTAAAATTTGGAAATATCTGTAACTTCTTATTGACCATTAAAAAATACCACAGAGTGTGGCAAGCAGGTATAATTTCAAAATAATTGGATGCTACAAACAATAATCTCAATAATCAGAGGACCAAAAAATTTAGTTTCTCGTTCAATTGCTTGTTGACAGTCTTGAAAGGTAAAAGTTGGAACTGAAATTTTTGATAAGGGGGGGGGGGGGAGGGGGGCTTTCGGAAAACTTAATCCGGCACTGGCGGTCAGCATAATCCTCACCAGCAGGTTGAGCGACGTCGATGGCGCCTGTAACAATCGATGAGATTAGTACGTAGCTAGGTAACCACATAAAGTTTTTAGTTGATGTACTTACTGTAATCCATTATTATATTATGACCACGCACTTACCTTCCTCTAAGATGAACTTCGTGCAATAATAAATGAAAATGTAATAATCCTCAAAGTCCCTCAGCTTGGGAACGGAAAAAACGGCACCAATGATTCTTTAGGCTTATTCGCAGAGAAAATCTGTTTGCATCACAGAGCTGGTATGGCTGTGAATTCACAGTCACACTCGCCAATGTGGAGGAAACAGATGGACGCTGCGAAAAAGTCTATTCTAAGAATCATTGCAGTCAATCGTACGTCACTAGGATGACAGACAGGGAAAATACACACGAAGCTCATGCTCAGAACAATTATTGGTCTTCCTTCTGGTTGATATTCACTATTCACTTTTGCCCCCCGTACAAAAAATGACATGCAATACACCATGCATAAAAAGAAAAATCCTACCTTATGAGGCCGCCTTTCTGCAATCTGTAACAAAGAGAAGACTTACGTTAGAAATGATATTAAAATATGTATAGTTTAAAACAATTGAAAATTTTGACTGGGACAGTTATTTGTAGTCAAGCGTTTGTTTGTTTGACCGTTTTCTTAAAGAAATTGAGCAATAAACACTGGCAATAAAAAGGAATGGACACTTACCCTTTAGCCTCAATAATTCAGTCTGTCCTGGGAAGAACCATATCAACCAAAGTAATGATGGAAACACTGCACACTTCCCCGGCACTCCTCGTTCGTCAAGAACTGAAAAGTAAAATATAATCAATCGCAATATGAGAAAATGATCATAGAATCCATAATTTCAAACAGTTCCAAGATTGGGCTACTAGTTCAAAAGTTACAGCCCTTTGAATTTTTTTTCGAAATTGGTTTCTAGTCTATAACTTTTGATTGAGAAGTTTGATCGCAAAAGTACGAATTGATTTGAATTCTACGCACTCAAATTAATAAGAAAAAGTGTTTTCCCGAGAAATTTTGGTGTAGTCGATTTTTGGTAAAAAAAAAGGAAGGTTATACACAGGGGCGGACACTTCAATTAAAACAGAATTTTTTAACAACCTAACATCAACCCCAATTAGAGAAACGTGTTAATAATTTATTAATAGTGCAAGAAACTAAATACAGCACATACTTATATAAATTTCCAACGGGCCATTATGATCTACAGGCCAGGTGGCAATCGCCACCCGCCCCCCCGTGCCAGTCCGCCCCTGATTGTAAGTAGGTGTAGTAGGTATTATCAAGATGAATTTGGTTATCTACATTTCAAGTACATGGCTACGAATTTCTGGAGGAACATTGAAACGTTTAAAAACACCGATTTATTTAACGACGTGCCACAATTTTCCAAGTGTTTAGTTTTAATTTTCTGGCGTTGATTTTGTTATGATCGTTCTTATTTTCAAAGAAAACGGAAAAAAGCTGCATAGGACGCGTAAGCGGCTTCAACGATAAACTAAAAACTGGGTCACGTGACATTACGCGATGACGTAGTAGGTACGCACGTGACTGATTTTAGAAAATGGTCCAATCACAGCGCTTTTAAAACAAAATTTGGCATTGTTTATTTATCACGGATTTCACACAATTTAGGAGAAAACTATTCTTTTGTCAAAAACTAATCAGTGATTCCTAGAATGAAATGCACAGAACAAATTATAAATTCCGTTGACGGAAATTGCCATCTTAAAAGTAACCCCTACAAATTTTAGGAGCATGATGATTCATAGTAAAAAAAGATAATTTGTTTATGATTTAGTTATTAAATTTGGGCATCAGATTTGAAAAAAAAAGAAGGAAATTTGCAATGGTGTATGATGTGAATCCAGAGCCTTCAGGAAAAAATGAAAATAGTTACTAAAGGTCCCACAGTTTGGAACAGATGCCGTAGGGTTGAATTCTAAAAGGACAATTGAACGTCTGCAGATGTTCATGTATAAGGGCGACTCCTAGGCTACCCAGACCGATTCCAACACAGGGTTACAAAATGTGGTAAAGGGCTCTTTAAGAAACATTTGCAATATCTTAATTAATTTTTTCCATCACTCTCGCAATAAACCTACATACCTACTGCTACCGCAGTCCTCTAGGTATGTACACCGAAACGAAAGTACACATAAGTTCTACTTTAAGCTGACCAAGACCTATTGTAGCTGCTCTAGACTTCTACCACTTGCAGTCCAATAAAATAAATAACACAGGCCATACACAAATTTCAATTCGCTACCTCGCCTACTAACATCTAGTGAATGCAATCTTGAGTCGAGATCTCACTTGATTAGAAATTACAATCTCACGTCTCGGGTAGTTTTCGAAACAAAAAATATTGTTTATATTGGATAATTAGAAAGAAATGAAAGCTACTAACATAACATGTGATTATGAGGTTGATTACCACTATGGCACCAGGGTGAGTAAACTATTGCAAAAAGCTACTCCTTGTTTCCCAACACTCATATACATCTATCATCATCACATCTATAAAAAATGGAGCACAATAGTTTATAGTGATTTATCTGGTAGAATATATTAATTTATTTTCCGTACACCATGATGGTAGAAGGGTTTTGATTATAATAAATAATAACGTTACAATTCTTGTTGTTTATTCCATATTATGCTGTAAAGGATCATGACGTTGGGGCTATAATGTAACTGGAATTCACAGTGATGACCGAAGGCTTTATTAATTAGAGCGCGTTAAAGCAAATTCAAATTTACAGCGCGCTTGCGTTTGCGCAGTACCGAGGGAGTCAATGTGCATCACATCTGCAAGTCAAGCAGCCATCGCATCGGCAATAAGGTGATTTTTTTAAATTTTTAGATATAATAAGTAGCCACAACCGTCATCGACTGGCTGGTTACCATAACAACTCATGTGATATTTACTTTTATTGTAATTATTATTTCATAATAGTCTGTGGAAGCATTTCACAATTTGCAATTTAAATTTTACTGGAAATAATAAAATTATCCTTTTTCTCATTTCTAGAGTAGATTTTGCACCACAGCGCCATCTCTTTCGTTTCGCATCAAACGTCAAGTTGATAGATTTGGGTTTGGCGATTTTGAAAAAATCTCAAATCATCCGCCCGATAATATTACTTTTTGCAAAACTTAAGACATTTCCGAAATAATGACGGCCCCAACTGCCTCTGGAGATGGATATAAAAGTGCTAGTGTCGCGTATAAAGATAAAAGTAAACCTACCGATATACGATTGAGCAATATCAATGCCGCTAAAGGTAAATAAACGTCTTTACTAATTGTTACTAACTTTTGTAATGCATGGCAAGTAATTTTACACTCGATACGCGCAATGAATTCATTGCATTTTGTTGTCGAGCAATTGAGCTATATTAAAATGGTACTTAAAATTTCAGCTGTCAGTGATGCGATTCGTACTAGTTTGGGACCTCGAGGAATGGACAAAATGGTAAGTTGGTCAGTTATCAATGCTTCTCTTACAGTAGTTGTTCAGATTCAAGCGGGTAATGGCGAAGTGACAATAACAAATGACGGTGCTACGATTTTGAAACAAATAAACGTCATACATCCGGCTGCGAAAATGGTAAGTCGTGTTCTTGAGATTTGTATTACGGATTGTGGTTTCAGTTAGTAGAATTGTCACGTGCTCAAGATATTGAAGCTGGTGATGGTACCACGACTGTTGTCATTATTGCTGGAGCATTACTGAACGCTGCCGAAAAACTCCTGGCCCGTGGTATTCATCCAACTGCCATCTCTGAGGCTTTCCAACGAGCATCTACACACGCAGTCGAAGTACTGTATTTCTCCCAAAGTCAGTTTTAATCAGGTTCTTTGTAGATTTTAACCAACATTTCTACGCCCGTTGAGCTTCAAAATCACGAGCAGCTGGTAAGAAGTGCATCTACCTCTTTAAATTCCAAAGTGGTCTCGCAACAATCGAGTTTACTTGCACCTTTAGCTGTAGAGGCTGTACTTAAAGTGGTCGAACCCGGTTCGTTACCTATTACTTATTCGTGTTTGTTGCTCATAGATTGTTACAGGTCGTGAAGGAGCTGTGAATCTCTCAGATATTAAAGTGATCAAACAACTGGGCGGAACTGTTGAAGATACCGAACTAATTGACGGAATCGTATTTTCGCAGAGGGCCGCCAACTTAAACGGGCCCAAACGTATTGAGAAGGCTAAAATTGGTTTTATCCAGTTCTGTATTTCGCCCCCGAAAACCGATATGGATCACAATGTTATTGTGTCCGATTACGCAGCAATGGATCGCGTACTGAAGGAAGAACGCGCTTACATACTCAACATTGTTAAGCAAATTAAGAAGGCAGGCTGCAACGTTTTATTGGTAAGTTGCAGTGTACAGTGGGGAAATGGTAATAATTTTCTGTCCATTTTGTTTTATAGATTCAAAAATCTATACTTCGAGATGCAGTCTCTGATTTAGCACTCCATTTCTTGGATAAAATCAAGGTGTTGGTTATTAAAGATGTGGAAAGGGAAGACGTTGAATTTGTGTGTAAATCACTTAATTGTCGTCCAATCGCTTCTTTGGATCACTTCACTTCCGAGAATTTGAGCAGCGCTGAATTAGTGGAAGAAGTGGGAATAGGCGGAAATCGTCTAATAAAAATCACAGGCGCCCAGAATGCGGGCAAGACTGTGACGCTTTTAGTACGTGGCTCTAATAAGTTGGTGTTGGAGGAGGCGGATCGTTCCCTTCACGATGCTCTGTGTGTAGTACGCTGTTTGGTGCGCAAACGTGCGTTAATCGCGGGCGGTGGTGCTCCAGAAATCGAAGTTGCATTAAAACTAGCTGCAATT